GCGGCGCTCGCTGGTCTTGGCCTGGCTTTGCGGAGGTTTAAACCAATAGTAATACTGGATTTTCTTGCCCTCTCCCTCGTCGAAAGATGTTGCAAAGTATTGCGCTAGTTAACTTTTAAACATTGATCTGTACACCGGGTAGAGGTAGGTATCGATGTACTATGTACGTACCTGATAGAGGACCCTGTACCAAAGGGACAGTGTGTCGACTGTGTACCTGTAAGCCATCTGCTGGTGGATTCGGCGACCGCTGTACGTTGCTGACATTCCCGCCTTGTGGGTATATGCGGAGCACTTTTGGAGCGAACTGCTGCTCTGTACCTCTACCCTACTTGGATGCGTAGTGTAATGTACCTCGATGTTTAGATGACGAGGGGATGAAATCTCACTCCCATTATGGAAACTACTCGTAAAATCCCTTGTTCGACGACCCTGTTGGTTCTTATCTGTAGTGTAGTCGAAGATCTCGGTTTTGACCTGGCACTGGAGCTTTTGTCTGCTGCCAACTGGTCCATTACCTAGAACCGCAACGGATCGATAATGAAGATTGCCGACCAGGGTCAATAGGAACTGATACCTGTTAGGGATGGGAAAGGAGACGGACCTGTTGTGTATCGTTCTCGAATGGGACAGACTGATGGTCAGGAAGGGAAGGCATTTGCTTGCGCGGGGTTGGGTATGCTCAGCGTTTTACTTCGATCAACCCTGGTCGTGATTTGAGAGCCATCATTCAAAATTCTTCGAAGACCAGCCGGTACCCCAACTCTCCAACTCACCAACTCACCAACTCTCATCCGTGCCCACTTGCCGTCACTCGGCCAGCTTCGGGTTCTTGTACGTGCGCTTTTGAAGTTTTGTTGCCATACCACACGATGGAGTGATCCCCAACAAGGAAGATTCCCTCCATTGATGCTGGATCCTCTCGAAAACCTCCTTTTGCTATCAAGGCTGCCCGCCGAACAATTGAATGCTTGGAAGCTATTTCTGCTGTCGCACATCGGGGTAGTGTCAATTGTCCAAGGTGCCTGCCCAGCCCCACTGCGGAGACAGGTGGAAGTTAGGAGATACTTCGCACTACAATCGGAGTTCACCATAACAGCCAACATCCGACTATGTACATGTCGAAGCTCATTCGTCAGCCAAGCTTGAATAGCGAGCGCTCACTGATGAAAACTTCAGTGAACAAGTTTTTCGATAGGGCCTAGCCCATCAGCATACGAATCAGGGCTCAAGCATAGAGATACTGTTCGTGTTTCATTACTCCCCAGTATTCATCGCCTTGCGATTCGATCCGAACTCTTACAAGTCGATGGTGAAGCAGAGAACTCACCTTCAAACATCTTGTTCCTTTTCTTTTTCTTTCCCTTCGTTCTTGAACCCCTCTGAGCCCCGTCTTGCTGATCACCACAACCTCACTAGGCTAGAACGGGCAATGTCTCTCGCGCTTGCATAAGTGATCTCTGAAGAGGCTACGTAGGAAAAAGCTTGTCGAAAGCTGGATCGTAGTGTACTGTACCTCAACAGAGTGGGCCACTGGCTAGGTGGATTGATGCAACGTTGTTGGACGAAGAACTGGGGTGCTAGGCAGGGGGCGATAAAATCATCGTCATCACGACTTTGTTCGTCTCGATGATTGTTGAACGCACTGACAAGCAGGATTGGTACTTCAGAATTCCACGAGACTTCATGAGATCGATACCGGAAGAAGCGTCGTCTTGAAAGATTGGAATGTCTCATACATAGTCATGGAACCCGGTGACGTGCTTGTGCTTGACATGTATCGTCACTGATCAATGTCAACGACATCAACAGAAATGGTGAAGACATGAAACTTATTGCGGGTCATATTGTCGTGCAACCGACGGTATGCATGAGTGCAGGATTATGCCCCAAAGGTAAACAGAGTACTTGGCTGTAAGAAAAGAAAGGACGTTATCCACACGAACCCCTAAAATCGAGATCATCGATGTCGATAAGCCCTGGTCCACAACAGGTGCGTGACCCCATTCACAGCTATGAGTGTATCTTGGGGTGATACCGTAGCTAGACTCGAGATAGATCTGGTGATTCGTCTAGGATAAGTGAATGCTGTTCCTAATTGGATCATTAACCGATCACCGCAAGCTCGTTGCTTTTTTCCCTCGAAGGCTTAAGCGATATAGCCGGTAACGCTGGTGTTGCAGAAACAACGGGGTGTTCGCTCGCTGTGTACATGATCGTTTTGTTCGCAGGTTTTCATTGAAAAGAAAAAAAAAAGAAAAAAAAATGTTGTGGACGTTTGGTGTACCCGAACAGACGTACAGGTGGTAGCTGAATTTGATGGTCCAGCGGACGATGTGCCTTACGCCGTACCCAAGGTTGACGCATTCGCCATTCGCAGCAGCTTCTTCTCTGGTCATGAGCAAGCGGTTATGGCGGCCAACTGTCAACACAATTCAGCCGGAATCGGCACCGAAACGTTCCAGAAGGCTTCTCGAAATTACTCAACTCGAAATGGCGTATACACTAATGAGGATGCTGCTTTGCAGCAGCCAGGAACGGCAAAGACCAAATAAAGGACTGAGCCGCGCAAGAGACCGCTACTACAACGTACTGTAGACCGACACTGTTTACGCCCGCGCAAGTGTGGAGGTTTCTACCGGAATATGACGGATTGTGACAGCCATCTCCTAGCCAGTCTTGGTTGACAGACACCTCATGACCGCCTGAAATTTGCAGGCGCAAGAGACCTGGCTGGTTACTTTGGTTTACCTTCACCTCCCCCCACCTCCAAGTTGTTGCTGCTTTTTTTTTTCATTGCCCTTCCCAGGGGTTCTGAATATGGGTGAGGAAATGGCCACTGGTTCAGGATGATGTAGCCTGCGAGGTTGCTTTGTCGTCGGCTTTCGATTCCTCAACTGTTGCCCTTTTCGGATGACTCGACAGGATTCAAAATGTCGCCTGGGGATTGGCTTGCCAGAAGTGTCAGTGCGTGCAATAGGTTCTGGCATTGGGCACCACAGCAACTTCGGCCTCCGAACCCAAAGCCGACCTGGCGGTGACGGGCCCGTGGTCTATGTTTGGCAACCACTATCTGGTTCATCCTCTTTCTTGTGTCAGACCTTGTCACCTCCCTCCCTAATACTGTTGAAGCGAACGTTGCATATGTCTTGGCGCTGATGTCGTTGACTCTGACAATCAATGCCGCCTCGAATCTAACCTTGCCCATATTCGATGTTCAGGGGCTTGTGCTTGTTCATTTGAGGCTGCTGGCGAAGGAAAATTTCTCGTCTGGGCTGAAATGCCGAAGGGCGAGTTCCGCCGAGCGTGTTTGAACAGTGTGGGCCCAACGGGATGTGTTGCCAGGGCTGAAAATCTGAAAAGCCTCATCGCATGGCCGGTGGAGTCGATCGAGGCCATCGGTGGAGTTTGCCTGTGGCACATTGTCTCGAAACTCGTGCGTCGTATGAGCGCATGTGGAAAGTCGAACTGGACACGCTCAGCGTTGAAGCAACAGTCTCTGAATACTAGCACACCCGTCTGATTTGGTCAGTCTTCACCACCATGTGAGTCTCTTCAAAGTGCCTGTTTTCGTAAAAGAAGGTCGTCGACGGCGCTTGGTTGTTGCGCCAAGCATTAACTCGTAGCGTGAAGCTGTTACTTGATGTGCTTGACGTCATCCCGTGTCCTGGTGTGTGTACTGTGTAGGAGCTCGCGCTTTGACAGACATCAGATCGCGAAGCCAACTTGGCGCGTTGAACATGACTTGTGGTAAGCTGTGGGACACCCGACACGGCCTGGAAACGCTCAACCTTCTGGATGCTGCCCGATCGATTCCGACCGCCCAAAGCTGTGACTGGGCGATGCTCAGGGGACCTCAGGGGATCTCAGGGGCCTAGATGATCGATCTCAAACGGCCAGGGGGTAGTGCTGGTGAGTTGTGTTCGCGGTGGCGATGATGTGGACGGCGTTGCCAACAATAGCTCGACGATAAGGCATGTGTGTGGACGATGGTGTCGTGTCATGTCGTGTCTGCCTCATAGGAGATGTTTCGGGGAAATGGAGAGCGGGCACTAGAAGGGAGCGGAAGCCACTACAGTGATTTGGATCACCGCCCGAGATGGATATGCGTCATGTTGGGTGAGAACGAGGTCGTGGACGCGAGACGAGAAATGGGCGGAAAGATGAAAGTCAAGCGAGCGAGCAGTGCGAATGTGGAAAAGTGCTACAAAAAGCGACTTGTTCCAACCGACTGAAGTGATGACAGGAATGGCTGCTCGTAACGAACTTTCATCTTTGGTCATTGATTTGATTTGATTCTCGTCAAGGTTCAGGTGTTTTGAGTTATTGTGCGTTCCGATTTGGCGCGTCCTTGCCTGCCTCGGCGCCCAACTCGAGTCCTTCTGCTTGTCCTGGCTCCACTCGGAAAACAGGGGGTTAATGTGGACCCTTCCAAAAGCTTGTTTTGCAGGCACCTTTGCGGCTGCAACCGGGGAAGCTGCCAAGTGCACAGGGCTGGCACACAGTGTGCATGATCACGCCTTCCCATCTCAGCTTCAGTTCTCGCCAGACTCCTGCTCCGTCCTCATCAAACTGAACTGAACTCGCAATGACCAGGTCTCTGACCAGATTGGAAGCGGCTACCTCTGCAAGCTGTGCGGGGAGAGGAATCTAAAAAAAATAAGCCACATTCCCCTCTGAGTCCTCGGCTACTATCTTCTGTTCACCGACACCGGCAACAGCTCCAATGATGTTCGCGCCTGCCTTATGGGACTCGGGCTCACCCCCCATTGGCCCAGTTCCATTGTGAATGGAGTCAGCTTATCAGTTACCCGAAGAGCGAGCTCGTCTCTGAATCAGGAAAATTGAAGGTATCCTTCCCTTCTTTCTTACCGTTATCGGCCTACTCGAGTTTCACCGCTTCACATCATAGTAGACGACGGTGACGACGTGGACCGACATCCATCTGTCATATCTCGCTGTCTCAAGCGGTCTGGAAGCCTCATCCCTTTGACATTCATCTACAAAATCTCCGCGAGCCCTACGAGGCCCTCCTCTTGACTGATACTACACTACATAGTACAGTGTCCGGAGGGGACCCTGGTGGGAGATGATCGCCTTGATCTACAACATCTTACGTTTCGAGGTCGGTGAGGCCGGAGCCAGAGACGGGATGCTCAATCATGAAGCCTACCTTAGTTTCAAGTGAGCCGGTCAGCAAACCAATGACATGTTGTGCTATAACCACTTTCTTTTTTAACCATTAGATCTTCCGCTAAAGCACCCGTCAAACAGTTTCGGGGAATTTCTCACATGAAGCAAGCTCCAGTTATCAAGATCAAAGCTCCCATCTGCCAAGCCAAGCTTACCATATGTCTTGGTTTTTGAGTTCCTTCTTGCCTCTATTCCGTATTGTGGGGTGTCCGGTACAGTGACCTACCCCCGTCCCCTTTCCCACTTCCCCCGGCATCCCCAGATCCGGGGTGCCGGGACGGGTCTTTGCTTAGCATACGGCGAGCTAGTATAGAAACATTGCAGTGACCAATCATTGACAAGGCATGCATCGACAACCTCCTGCCCGATTTCCATCTCGCCATGTTGCATCCAGCACTGGCTTGATCTTCGGATAGATCTAGTCAACATGTTGGCCTCCAATCCTCGATATCTCACACGCACACAACCACCGCATGAACCATCCCCGGAATCCGGATGACCCGGAATGTTCGGTTCATCACGAGCGGTTCACCGGTCATGGCGTGCGAGCTAATGTGTTCCATGTATCAGTTTCCTACTGCAAACATCCACTAACCTTCTATGTAGCAGTATGCGATGATCATTCATGCTACACATTACTTGTTCGCCATTCTCGTACGTTGCCCATGGTTCCAGAACTTTACTTCACATTTCAGCTCTAGCAGGATCTTCCACAATGATCATTGTCAGCATGTGACCTTCTTCAAGGTATAAAGTTATCATGCTCCCTGACACCAAAGGGGTCAACATACTTCTATACATTTGGCAGACAGTAAAGACTCATCACGATACACCTTACCCACGGCAAAGGTCAATCCTGTAAGCAAAAAGTCTGTGTGTAAGTATTTTGATTCTCCTACGTCTACCAGCCTACAATTGTTACCTATTTGCATTTCCACGTTCTCGTTTTGGCGTCTGGAACATGGAAGATCTCACCCCAAGTCAACTATAAATTGGGCTGTTGATCTATAACCCAACCTTGCGAAGCTGAGCAAGTTGAGAACGATCTTTCCTTGCGTGTCCTCGATCAGTTATTGGTCAACTCTTTTGCAACCTCAACCAACAACCCACGTGGTGTTGGAAAGGCTGTTGGTCATGCGAAATAAAGGTCTATGACTAGTACCGCGGACTATATGTTTCTTGTAGGCACTCCATCGTGGCGGCATGCATCGTGGAACAACATCAAGATCGTGGATCTGAGGATCCTGCAGTACGCTATTCTCACAATATGAAGAGGAATGCTTCAAATCATTCAACGTGGCCATCATCGAATTAACAATTTGTGCCATCGGTCCTGTAAATCCGCTGTGTCTTCGCAGAGGTGAAGCGACTCGAGTCACGATCAACGCCCAAGTTCACCGACTCATTCACTCTCCACCATAAACCGACACTATCCCCACTGTGAACTCACAGCAAGTCTTACAACAATGTTTTTTTCCAAGATTTTCCTAGTGCCCAAGAAGCACCGTGTTATGATCTTGTCCACCCAAGAGACGAAGAAAGTGCAAGAACGACTCGTACCATGACCAAGCAAAAATAAGGAAGGAAGGAAAACAATGGCGTCACTGCCTTTAATTACTTCCACTGCCGCCGCTTCCAAGTTCGCTAGGGTGATGTACCATACTAGGTTTCAAGCATCACTACGTAAAAAAAACATTACAGTTCGCATCCCCGAATGTTTGAATTCAACAGTTACGACGTAGCCGAGCTGCAGCCAAGTTAAAGTTGAAATGGCGGTGCTCACATGTAACTACCTACCTCTACAGTATTTGACCCTCTCCTCGCCGTCGCGACTTCCTACTGCTACATACCGCGGATCACGGCACCAGAGCCTGACTCGACTCAGCCTCCACCGAATCAATATTGGGAACGGATATAGGTAGGTATCGGCATTGCCGAGGATGGGGTATAGAGACACTTCATCTCACCAGCAGAGCAAAGGTCAAGACAATCCACAACACAGAAGTAGGGGCGACGCCTAACATCCTTACCTCGTCCAGGACCAAATTAATGGAATCCGCAACCGGGCCAGATCACTGTAACCATGATATCGTCATAAACACCAAGGTGGGCTTCCATTCCTCTCATTACCTTTTTATGTATATGTATATCTGTTGCCTTTTTTCAGGCAACAGCCGATACTCGCATCCTATTACCCTACCCACAATGATTCCCATCTCATTACCCTCCAGTCCATCCCATGATCCAGTTCGGTCACCCAGCATAACCAAACCAAATCCTACAGATTTTAAACACCGTCCCGATTTCGCTCAGCGATGATTTTCGCGAGCTCTCAAAAATAAGGAGATTACATACCCTCCACTTCACGGTTGATTCCGAGAAAAAAAAAGTTCCGCGTTTTTGGACAAAACCCACCACAGATTCCCCCCTCTCCCCCCCATGTCCCAAAAAAAAAAAGGACTCCAATGTCGTGCGTGAGTCGTGTAAGTCCCATTCCGTCCATCCGGATGTTCTTGGCGGCAGCGGTGTCAGGTTTCCCTCCTTTTTTTCGGTAGGTCAGTATGTACCTACCTCTCTACCTACCTCGGTAAGTAAGCTCGTCCAGGACAAATAAAACGTCGGTGGAATCAAGAGAGCATGAGTGATGCTAAATGGACAAATTGGGAAACGCATTCCAGCGAGTTTTTGTAGAGTTACGAACAGCTAGCTCTATTAGGGATGATGCAATGACTATGGAATGGCCATGAGGACGAATGAAAAAGAAAAGAAAAAGAAAAAGAGAAAAAAAAACCTTGGAAGCAGGGTTGCCGTAAAAGTCCTGGACATTCCGGCCGGTTGAGGCTTCTTGTCTGAGTTTGAGGGAGGCAATATCGGGGGGGATTCTTCATGATATGGTGACGGAAATTGAGTCAGTTAAGTCCTGGGAGGGGTGGAGCTAAGAAAATAGGGGTGGTGGTGTTGGGAAGAAATAAAACAAAAACGCATACGATGTTATGTTGTTGTCGTTGCTGTAGTTGTTCATGTTTTTGTTGATCATGGTCATCATGACGACTGGTGACGAAAGGATCATGATGGGATGGGCGAAGGCATGTAAGTCGAACAGAAGAAACAGGTCCTGAAGAAGTTATGCCTTTATCGAGAGGAGATTTACATGTACAAGTGTAGATCTGCAGATGCCATGGAAAAAGCGTGAACATCAGCACGGCCAAGGGTATAAAGTATGCTCTAGATTCACAAGTGTATACGGCAAGAGACATTCCAAGAAGTCAAATACCGAATCACAATTTGGACGAAGAAACCTCAGAGTAACAAATTCGAAATGGCCTAGCCATATGATTCAAATTAACTATTATTTTACATTGGGTGATGCCGGGTGGAATGGCAGATTATATCCACCACGGGTATGCTTATGTACGACACTTTATGTCTTCACCACTAAAATCCAAAAAACAAACAAGCTCCTTGCTCTTCCAAACACGACCAAACAAATGAAATCCGGCTGATATGCCCAAGTAGAGACCAGTGGTTGTAAATCCACTCGCCCGTCCAACACGCCCCCGATGGCAAAATGCGTACATGTGATTAATGCTCTTCTTCTTCTTCTTCGTAAAGGATCGTAAGAATGATACCTTTGTCCTGTCTTTCGTTTTACATGTTCGTATTATACACGCTTCTTTTCATTCCAAGCCTAGACTTAAGCCTAAGAGAGCTTAGAGAGCAAGAGCGCCGAGGACGACAGCAACGGCAAGGCCGAGACCAGCGCTGACACGGCCGCTTCCAGCAACGACAATAGGAGGGCTGATGACGCTCGAAGTGGGACGGACAAAACCGCCAGTGCCGACGGCAGTGCCGATGGGAACAGAGGGGGCGCTGGTGACGGCAGGAGCGCTGTTGACGGGAGCAGCGGCGCTGGTGCTGACGCCAACGGCACCAGTCTCGGTGGCGGTAGCAGAAACGACAGGGACCGCCTCGGTCTCGGTGACGAGAGGGATGCCAGTGGGAGCAGGGACGATGGCAACATCATCAGTAGTGCTCGTGAAGTGAATCTGGGGCACGGTCATGGTAGTGTCGACGATGACGGTGGTGCTGGAGCTGGCAATGGTCGAGCCGGCCTCGTTGGTGCAGGGAACAACGGTGGTAAGGTTGACAGTGATGGTGGTGAGAACGGGAACAACAGAGGTAGGGGCAGCAGTAGTGGTGACATAGGTGGGAACGCCGGTAGCGATGCCAGGGTTGGTGTTGACATAGGGGGCGCAGATACCCTGGAAGAAGGTGATGGCATCAGAGATGATGGAGTCAGACTCGCCGTGGGCGTAGATGCACTCATAGACGTTCTTGACGAAGAGGGCGTTGGGGCAGAAGCAGGCAGCGTCGGAGTTGTCAGTGCAGCCAGTCTCGAACAGGAAGGTGTTCAAGCACGAAGGGACGACACCAGGGCAAGGAAGGGGCTCAACCGGGGCGGTAGAGACAGGAGCAGCGCTGGAAGTGGTGTCGACGGCGGCAGCAGAAGAGCTAGCGACGCTACCGGCAGAGGTGGGGACAACGACACCGGTGCTGCTCTCAACAGCGGAAGAGACGACAGCGGAAGAGGCGACAGCAGACGACTGAACAGCAGCGGCGGAAGAGGTGGAGCCGGCGGGAGCAGAGATGATATCACCGATGGAGGTGGAGATCACAATCTCACTGGGACCCTCAGAGCTGGCAACAGGGGCAGCAGAAGAGATGGCTGAGACCACAGTGGTGCGAGTCTCGGTGACAGCGCTGACAGTGGTGGAGGTGGCAATGGTGACCACAGTGGTGGTAACGTGGTTGGCAGGGCAGTTGGTCACAGTAGGAGCGCAGCTGGTGATGGTCTGAATCTCAGTGATGAAGACGGTGGAGGTGCTGTCGAAGCTGGTGACGATGGTGCTGGTGACGGGAGGAGCAGACACAACCTCGCTGATAGGGGCGCTCTCACTGGGCTTAGCAGGGCTGGACTCAACAGGGATGCTAGGAGCGCTGGTGATCTCGGCGGGAGCAGTGCTGGTCTGGCTTCCAGGAACGCTCTCAGCAGGAGCGCTGGAAGAAGCGACGGGAGCAGCAGAAGTGCTGGTAATCTCGGCAGGGACGGTGGGGACGCTGGCGGTGGCGGCAGCAGAGGTGGTAGAGGCGGCCTTGGTAGTCTTGGTCTTGGGAGGGACGGTGCTCTGCTTGGTGCTGCAGTCGAAAGAGATGGTGCTGACGATGACACTGCAGCTAGGCTTGGGCTTCTCGGGCTGAGGAGGGTAGACGATGGTCACGTTGGTAGCACCACCGCACTGCTTGTTCACGACGTTGGTGCCGCTCTTTGAGCACTGATTACGGTGCTTGCAAGTAGATCCATCGGGCATCCCATAGTGGAACTCCAGATCGCAGTCGAACTCGGGCGTAATGTGGATAGAGCCCAGCGA